GTATTTCGGTCGGGAGATTATGCTGGGAGCAGGACTGAGGGAGACAGGGAGGCAGGGGAAGCAAATAGAGGGCTCACTCTGGATTGGTTCCCACCAGGAACAACCGGCTCCTTCCTGTTGGAGTCCACTGAGCAGAGTCACCTCAGAAATTCCTTCCAAAGGCATGCACTGGAGGCACTTACTAACCAACTCCGGTACCACTGGCCATGAAATGCCCCAGGGAATGACTTCTCCCATAGAAGCTTCCATCTGGGAGATCCCTGAGAGCTTTGGGACTTTGAGGAAAGCCCTAGGACTGTAGAGAGCAGTAGGGGTGCGTGCTTGAGGGGAGACCCTAATGGCCCCTAGGAACTGTCCACTGCAGCTGCAGGAGAAATCCGAGATGGGCCAGAGGGAGGTGGCAGGGGACACAAAAGGCATCTGCTCAGAAGGTGACTCAGATTGGGGGCTGAGTGGGTTCGGCAAGCAGAAGACATTCAGGAAAAGGGCTCAGAAACTGGGGTCAGGGGATCCACTGTGAAGAGTCTGAGATGCCGAATTACAAAGTTGAAACTTTATTTGCCTGGTTCTGGCACCTAGTAGGCACTCAACAAGTACTTATTGAAGAAGTGAATACTCATGAAGGTGCGCCTGGGCCAAATCCTTGCACAGTTACTGGACTTTAGAATCGAGCAGATTGGCTGTATGACCTCTAACCTCTCCCATCTTCCATTTCCTTCTCCCTCTGAAGTGGCAACAATAATGTCTTCTTTGCAGGGTTGTTGTGAGGAACTAGATGAGATCAAAGATATATGGCAACCAGAAGTGGGGACTCAATAAATGTCAGCCACTCTCCCCCCGCCCCCACGATGACCCAAAGCCAAGCAATAAAGCTGGGCTGCCCCCCAGCTGCAGACAATGAAGGCTGCTCCTGGGATCTGCTTACAGAAGATACACATTGGCATTTCCAGCTCTATTGGTCCTCCCAGAAAAAATTAGTAGTATTGGTAACAACTTTCTTATACCAGAAGGGAATCATACTGCCGCTTTAATGAAAGGACAGAGTTGAAACTAACCTCCCAGGGAACCTACAAATTCAGAAATTGATGCTTATAGTAACACAGTTTTTTTTTCATTGTGCATTTAAACATGCATATTGAAACATCTTCCAATCAATATGCCATTGCCTGGGGCGGTCCATCCCTACCGTGCTACCTTTCTCACTCTGAAATCCTGACAGCGGCCAAGATGCCTGTAGACGTCACTTGATAAAATACTCCTGCACTGGCTGCTGTGGGCACTGGGATGGCCTCAGTCCTTCTCAGGGGACGAAGGAGGCTGTGGTGGCTTCGGGGGAGGAAGGGACAGTCTCTTCGAAATATGAAGCTAAGACAATCGATGTTCCTCTCACACATTGATGTTTCTCTTCCTTTCTCCCTTTAACAATAAATAAACAAAATCATTTAAAAAATATGAAGCTAAAGTAGGAGCAAACACTTGAGGAACTAGGTAAAGAATGGAGAAATCACACAGACTCAATTAACATATTTTAAAACACATTCTTTCCCCCATAGCAGTTGGGGACAGAGACAAGCACTGTGATGAGTCATGCCAGTGGCACACAAAAAAATTTTCTTTAGAGGAAGAAGGGGTATTGGGAAAATGAGTAAACCCAGACTTTGTCAAGGAAGGGGGTTCCCGAGTTGGGAAGCCACTTTTGGGGGCACATTTGCTCCTGGCCTGGAGGGATTCCCAAATGGAGATGCCAAACGGGAATGGAAAGGTGGGAATTCCTTCCTCTGTCCATTCATTTGTTCAGCTCCATTCAACATGCTCAGTCATCTCTGTCACTCTGCAACAAGCAGCAGGAACATGAAAGTAGAAGACACAGTCCCTGCCCCTGAAAGGTTCTGAGAGCAGAGGAAACAAAAGATGCCCCTAATGCTTATAATAAAGTGGAACCCGGGCAATAATAAAGACACATCCAGGGCCCTGGCTGGTGTGGCTCAGTGGATTGCACGCCAGACTGTGAAGCAGAGGGTCGCTGGTTCAATTCCCAGTCAGGGCACATGCCTGGGTTGCCGGCCAGGTTCCCCGCTATGGGGAGTGCAAGAGGCAATCACACATTGATGTTTCTTTCTCTGTCTTTCTCCCTCCCTTCCTCTCTGTCTAAAAATAATTTTTAAAAATCTTCAAGTGGGGATCCTTTAGCCGGGCCTTGAAGGAGGACTGGAGTCCCCTGCACAGGGGTCTGTGCCCATGAGTGGGGACAGGAGTTCCAAGGAAGAGGAAGGGGCATCCATGGAAAGGAAGGCAGCTTTGGGAACAGCACGGAGTTGGCACAAGCTCAGGGAAGGCAGAGACCAAATGTGGGAGGGCCTCCTGCGTCACGAGGAGTCAGGGAGTCATGAGGAGCCACTGAAGGGCTTGGAGCGAAAGCCCGGCACTGTCTCATCTGTGGTTAAGAATTTCCTTCCTGGTAGCCCTGGCTGGGTGCTCAGGCGGTTAGAACACCGTCCATCCAGTACCCCAAGGTTGCAGGTTCGACCCCAGGTCAGGGCACATACAGGAATCAACCAATGAAAGCATAAATGAGTGGCACAGCAACTCTCTCCCTTCTCTCTCTAAAATCAATAAAATAAAATAAAATAAAATAAACATATATTTAAACAAGAATTATCTTCCCAATACCAAGTTCTGAGGGGTAGATTGGAAGTGTCTGTTAGATGGTTCAGGGGAGAAGCAACTGGCAGGGGACTGGAGAGAGAAGTTCTCGGAGTTTAGCTCCAGTCCCCGAGGGGCTTCAAGGACACGGCCAGTTTCCAGCCGTCCAGGTACTTAGTCTCTTAGAGCACCCATTTCCAACCTTTTTCATCTCGTGGCGTGCATAAGGTAATGATTAAAATTATGTGGCACACCAAAATATATTTTTTGCTGACCTGACAAAAAAATAGGTATCATTTTGATTCCTTTACAGAGGACAGCTATTGTCGTGTTGGCCGTTGTCTTTTTTTAATTTGACAGTCTAAGGGGAAAGAGGGCAGTGCCCTGACCAGTCAGGTATGGCCTGTTTTAAAAACTCTTGCCACACACTGGTTTGCAGAGGCACAGGGGCTGAAAATCGCTGTCGTAGAGGATCAATCTCCTCGTTCTTAAAATAAAGGAGATGCGCATCACCGTGAAGGGCCCCGCCTTTCGTCAAACAGAAGAAAACTTATCAGGACATCTCTCTACGGGCACAGCCGGGAGACCCTTGAAAAGTGCGGTGCGGCCAGGAGTGGAGCGCAGGGTGAAGCGTGAGGCCCCAGCCACCCCACCCCAAGTGCCAGTCCAGGCTCTTGCTCCAAGCTTCTCCTTCCTTTTCCTCCCTAGAGGGATTGTTCAGGCCACAAAGGAGTGGAGGGTCCTTTTAGACACCCAGGTGTCGGGAGCCGGCCAGCCACCGTCCCTTGACAAGGTCGGGACAGTTGAGATGCATCTGCAAGGCAGAGGCAACTGTGGCTGGATTTCCTGTCTATCTCTTCTTACATGTTTGGGTGATCAAAAGGTGGTGGGATTGTTAGACACCTGTATTTCAGGTTCATTGATTAGCATAATTCCAATGAAGTTGTACAAAATAATTTCTTGACCAGAGAACAAAGTCCCTGTATGTCTAAAACTTATTGGAGTAACAGCCCCTCCTTTACCTTGAATAGAAATTAGACAGGCAAAGAAATAAGAGAAGCTGGTTAGCTATTAAGCACATAGAAACAGTTACTAGGGAGTCAGAGTTTATAGTACACAGAGAAACATTTTAGACAGAAAAGGATAGATAGCCAAGTTAGACATCACAAAGGCCTTATAATAAATTTCCTATTACTTCTACTCAATCTAGTGTATCCTTTTGCCCCATGACAAATTTTGAGAAACTTTAATAAACATTAAGACATTCAAACTCTGTACATACAGCTACTTTTAATTGTCTGATTTATGGCCCTCCTGGTCAAAACGATCTTTGTTTAATATAATTGAATCTATGGGAACTTTCATACTTTTCCTGGTTACCTTTGTATTGATTTTTTTCTGCTTAACTGATCATGCTATGCACCTGAAAATGTTACTCACTACCAAAAATGAAATATAAAAACCTGCTTGTACTTGCAATAAACGGAACAGAACTTCACTGTCCTTTGAGGCGTGTTGTCGTCTGTTACCCATCACCGACGCCTTACTTACCTTTCAGGAACCCCTGGACCCTGCTGCGGCTGGACTGCGGCACCCAGGTGTCTAGGCCCCTGCAGTCCTGGTTTCTTTGGTCACTGGCGAGTACCCCCAGCTTTGCAGTCACAGGGGCCACTAAGCAAAGCCAATTGGAACTGTCGCCCTTGCCTATCTCTTTCCGGAGAAACTGTAGGGAACAGTGGAGAGAACACTTTAAAATGACTTAAAAACAACAATAAAGTTTTATCCCAGCTTTGGATTAAATAGCTCTGTTATTTTGATCGACTTTGTTCAAGGGACTCAATAAATCCCAACGAAGGGCAACTCTCTGGTCAGGAGACTGCTCCTTTCCACACCTGCCACGACACATCGCCTTCCCTCCACCTTTTCTTCTTGGTCCAGGGCGCCACCCTACCCTGGGCCCGCTGGGCAGCGGAGAGCCAGGCGGCGAACGGTAGGCTGGGGGCCCAGGAGCAGGAGCCCCTGCGCGCCCCCTCGCGGGGGCTCCCGCCTCCTCGGCCCGCGCGGTCCCGCGCTCGGCTGCAGGGAGCCCGCGCTGCAGCTGAAGCTGCGCAGTTAGGCTGGCCATGAAGGTGTAAAGCCCGGCCCACAGCGGCCAGCTCTAGGGGTCGCCGGGGCCTCTGGTGGACAGCGCAGAAGGCCCGCCCTGCCGCGGCCCTCTCCCCTTCTCCCGCCGCCGGTGCAACTCCGGGGCGCTCCTGCACCGCTTGGCCTCGCGCCACCCAGGCTCCGCCCCCGGCGCGAACCGGAGCCCGCGGGGCGGTCGCCGGAGGCAGGGGCTGCAGCAGACCACAGGCTGCGTGCGTCCTGCCCCAGGCGGGCCCAGGGCCCCCAGGCGCCCGCCTCCGCCGCAGGCAGACGCTTACGTCAGAGAGGCGAAAACCAGAAGGAGGGCTAGGAAAAAAAAAAAAAAGACACGAGGGCGGAAGGGGAAAAACTTTATTTTTTTTCTAATTCTCTCCTGGGGCTGAAGTGAAGGGCAGACGACTGCGCCAGCGCGGTCTTCCGGAGAGAGCCGGCGCGACCCCAGCCGGCTGCGCGGAGGAGCCGGGTCCCGGAGGCCCGAGGGGGCGCCCGACATGTGGGACCCGCAGGACTTCGAGCGCCACTGGCAGGCCGAGTTCCCCGGGCAGGAGGCGCCAGTCATGCGGCTCGACTCGGTGCTGGACATGGAGCGGGAGCTGGAGAGCTGCAAAGTTAACCTGCGGCGGCTGCAACAGGTGCTGGCAGAGGAGAAGTTTAAAGTCTCCTACCTGCAGTCGGCCCTGGCCGGGGAGAAGCGGGACCTCGAGCGCGGAGACGGCGGCAGCGCGGGAGCTTCGGCCGAGGAGCCGGCGCCGGCCGCACTGGAGCGGGCGCCGCCACAGCGCGAGGAGGGCGCAGCGGGCTGCGGCGGAGACCTCCCCGCACCCGAGCACCCTGTGCCGGAGGTGGCCGCCAGGGCCGAGACACCTCCGTACGTGTGCCTGGACCTTCCGCCCTGGCCGGTGGCGGCGGGGGCGGGGGGCACCGTGCGCAGTTTGACCGCGGCCATCCACCAGCAGCTGCTGCAGCCTCGCATCCTCTTCAGGTCCCGGGAGGACTGTGCGCCCCCCGGCCCCGATGGCACAGTGCCCAGAGCCCCAAGAGAGGAGCCGTCCTCTGGGACCCGTGCCGGGCGGGGCTCAGAGGAGGGCGAGCCGGACGCCTCGGGCGGGGACGATGGGGGTGACAGCAGTGACCACGACTTCGAGATGGTAGATTTAAACGAGAAATTCGTCCTAGGCCACTTGCTCGTGGCCCCCTGCCGGCTCGGGACCCGCGAAGAGGCCGAAAAGCCGGCACGGGCGGGCAGCCCCCATCGCTGGATGCACCTGATCCCGGGGGGCTGGCGGCAGCAGCGTCGGAGCCGCGACCTGGAGCAGCTGGAGTCGGAGGCCAAGGACGGGCGGGGCTCGCCCACAGCTGCGGACGAACCCTCCAGGCGCGGGGCCCGAGAGCACCTTCCGCCGTGGCGGCGCAAGAGGTTCCTTCGGGTGCCGGAGCGGGACTCGCCCAGCCACAGCTCGCCGGAAAGGGGCAGTGACTGCAGCCACAACAGCTCGGACCACGAAGACGGCTCCTCTGCAGGTAGGCGCCCTTCTCCCTCGGTCCCCGCTTCGCGCACCCCCAGGAGCAGCTGATCGCCTCCTGCACCCCATCCCAGGCATTTCTTTTTGGTCCAGTTTAACCTCAGGCTCTGGGAGGGGGCGGGGGGGAGGGAGATAAGGTTTACGTGTTTACCTTGAACCCACTTGTGGAACTTAAAGAAAAAAAGAAAGAAAATAAAAATGTGGTGCGAAGTGATTTCGACTTGGGCAAGTTTTTGAAAGCTTTACGGGGACGGCAGGGGGTGATGGAATGGTGCTGGGCCAGACCCGGGGAGGAATCTTTCACTTAGGCCTTAGCCTTTCTGCTCTGACTGTTGCAACATCATCCATTCTCGCCTCTTCCAACGCACCCTCCACAGGTTGGCCAGGTTCCTTGGTGCTACACTGATGGTATCCTTCTCTGCACAAACTCCAGTGTCTCCCATTTCCCCCAGGCCCCTTGATGTGGAAGTCTAAATCTGCCACTTAATTTTCTGAACTTACCTCTCATCTTCTCCAGCCTGTATCTGTGGACAAAACAAATTGGAACAGGTTCTCACTCTGGGAAAGGTACATGATCCTTAGTGTCCCCTGCCTTTGCTGACTGGCCCTCTTCCTAGAGGCTGTGCCTGATCTGTCAGCTTGTAGGAGCCCAGGAGCCTGAGTGGGAAGGGAAGGGTTTAGAATCATGGAGTCTTCAGGCTGGCCCAGTGCCCAGTGATCATGTCTAGTGCAGTGCCTTCATTTGATAAAGGAGGAAGCTGAAGCTCAGAAAGATTGATTGGTTGGAGTGAGCCGATACCTCTACTTGGACCTCCTGTCTTTTGCTGTTTTCCCTGATATATCTGCCCTCTCTTCTGAGGACAGCGCCTGGTCTTGGCCATTTTGCATCCCCTTGTAGTGGTCTGCATGGTGCTTTGCACATAGTATTGAATAAGTGCTCGATAAATATTTCTTGAATAAATATCCCCCAGCCACCCAGCTCCTCATAGGTTGGGGAGGAGGAAAGGACAGGGATGAGGAGTGGCTGGCCTGTGATTGCTCCATTGCTGCCCCAGGGACTGTCAGGGTCTCCTCAGCCATAGGAAAAGTATAAATTGGTGTCTCTGGCTCATGCTGTGACCAGGAACTTCAGATGCCTTCCTGCTAAGTGAAAGAGGAAAAAAAAATTACTGATGCTGGGATTGTTCCAAAATCTCCATTATTAGATCTTATCTGGGTAGGTTTGCATTTGAATGAAAAATGGTCTACTTTGCTAAAAGCACATTTGGAAGGTCCATCAAGTCATCTGTTGTGATCAATTACACTTATTCATTAGCAGTGATTGGCTACTTTTCCCATAGGTCATGCTTTTGCTGCCCGTGCTAGTAACATTTTTTATGTGCCCCTTTAACTCAAAGGAAGAGTCTGAAGATTACATTCTAGTGCCAAGTTTCAAATGCCCTCAATGGAGGCTACTCAAGTGGTCCAGAGCTGCCTGAGAGCTGGCTCCAACCCCACCCCCCTCAGGCCCACATCAATCACCCTGCCAGGTGTGCCCGGTGCTCTGGTTTTCCCACAGGGATTGACTTCTGTTTCTGCATGCTGTTTCCCCTCTTCTTAAGGGCACTCTAGCACTGAACGCACCTTGAAGCAGACTAGGAACTAGCATTCCCTCCAGCCTATAGCTTCAGAAGGTGGCCCCTCTGGGTGGATCAGTGATAAAAAAGATTCTCCTTCCTCTGGACTGAAGACTCCAGCCAGGGCACATGGTTGGCACTCATGGCGTTGGCTAAGGGTGCCGGGGCTGTGTTTTGGGTCCCATTCCAGGACCTCTCCACAGGGCAAGCTTTGCAGGGAACCTCTGCACAGTTGCATGTGGGGGCCCTGCCTCTGGCTCCAAAACCTCCCCAGTGAGGAAGTGAAGGGGGGTAGACATGCACATGCATGCACGCACAGGTACATATCCATCCACTCATACATGTGTGTGGACACATGTGCACACAGTCACATGCATGTTGCACCTTGGCACACACTAGGAGAAAGAGACTTCAAGTACACAGAGAGGCACTAGAGCAGAAGGATTAAGGGCAGAGGTTCTCACGCTGCGGTGACAGCCCGCTGAGGTCATGTGGTGAGGAGTGAAAGTATTGCCAGGCCTTGCTTGGCCATCCCTGCTTTATTTTTCTCCATCCATTGCACTCACCAAACTACCGCCTCAGATGCTACAGTTTTGAATGTGGATCTTACTCATCCTTTGCAATCAAATGCATCTCCAAGAGGGCAAGGATTTTTGTGTCTTTCATTCACTGACACTGCCCCAAAGCCTAGAGCACTATCTAACATGTTAGGTGTTCCATATATATTTGTTGAATGATATCTATCTATCTATCTATCTATCTATCTATATATTTATTTATTTATTTATTTATCTTTAGAGAAGGAGAGAAATATCAATGTATGGTTGCCTCTCATGCATCCCCTGCTGGGAACTGGCCTGCAACCCAGGCGTGTACCCTGACTGGGAATCGAACCTTCATCCTTTGGTTCGAAGACCTGTGCTCAATCCACTGAGCTACACCAGCCAGGTCTATATATATATATATTTTTTTTTAATGGGGTAGAATAGAGTAGAAAACATCAGAGTGCATCACACATGGTCACGGTGAGTATTTTTCTGTTTCAATCGTGTATACATGTGTAGGTGTCTACTGGGTCCTGATGTAGAATGTATTTCTTGGTGTGGGCTGGACAAAAAGCTTTGAAAACCCTGATAAAGACCATGGGCTCTGAAGCTAGACCTCTTGTGTGATCTTGGGAGAAGTTATTTGAATTTTCTGTGTCTCAGTTTTCTCATCTGTAAAATGAGGCCAACAAACAGTGCTCACCTCATACTGATGATTCGAGAAGGAAACGGAATGCCGTTTCTGAAGGGCTCCGAGCAGGTCCTTGCCTCGGCCCGCGAGGCAGTCAACGGGGTCCACCGATATACCTGTAACGGATGAAGGGGGATGGGACAGGAGGTGCGAAGAATGGCAGCAAGACAAAGGATTCTGATCAAGCTGCAAACTTTATTTTTCCGAACTGGGTATATATATAGGGGGGGAGGGAGAGGAAGGAGATTAGGTTGCTTGCTATTGGCGAGCTTGAGACAAAGAAGGGCCCGCTTATTGATTACTTGGGTGCAACTGGTACTCGTGGACACCTCATGTGCCTGTAGCTGATTGGCTTGGGGAGCGCATGCACACCTCATGTACCTGTAGCCGATTGGCTTTGTGGAGCGCACAGGTTCCTGTAATCAATGCAAAGTTTTTAGCTAGAAGCCAGGTGTAAGGTTCCCAACAGGTCCTGGCACAAGCAGATTTGCCCGCAGTGTTCACCAGCCATGACGACAGGTTGTTTTCTTTGAGTTAATGTTTGCCGCTTCCAGACCATTCTGAATCACAGATGCTCTGGGTTTCTATGGTGCATGTGTTTTTCCTAGGAAGGCCCTGGCTCTTTCTGGTGCCTTCCAGGCAGTAGGGCAGGACCCAGGGCGGAGTGGTCATGTTAGCTCGTGAGGCTCTCTTGCTGGACTGGCCCTAACGTTGTTTTTCCCTCTCCCCCAGCGATCATGTGCATTGTCTGTATTCAGACATCTGTAACTCAAGGTCAGGTTTATTGGCCAATTCAGGCGTTGCTGCTTCTCAGTCTCAAGGAGAAAAGAGAGCACATGAGACCTCTTACAAGAAGGCCTTGAGGCAGAGCTACTCTCCACCCCGGGCAAGGGCTGTTTTCCCTTAGATGACGGCAGGTACCCATACCACCATGACGCATTTGCGGTGTTTTTCTATGCAGAGTGGCCAAATCAGAATTTAAGTTAGTTGGAATGCCTACTTTTTTAATTTAGTTTTTAGAGAAAGGACATTAAATCTTTTTAAAATTTTTTATTTGTTTATTTTTAGAGAGAGGAAGAGAGGGCGAGAAACATCAATGTGTGAGAAATACATCAATCAGTTGCCTCTCGCACACCCCCAAATGGGGCCTGGTCCACAACGCAGGCATGTGCCCTGACTGGGAATCAAACCAGCGACCTTCTGTCCATAGGCTGGCACTCGATCCTGAGCCACACCAGCCAGGGCAGAATGCCTGTATTTTTTTAGTACCTTCCTTTTAGCTCCTTGTAACCTTGGTTGGTACCAAGAAAGACTAGGCCCTGTTGCCGTGAGTGAGGGTGGTGGTGTGAATGGGCTGGGGCATGGGGGCTGCGCAGCTGGAATCAGCGGTGTGGGGGCGTGTGTGCCGTGACATCAGCCTGGGCTGTCCTGGTTCTGCCCTCCCCCGGTGTGAGACTGCGGGTAAGCCACCGACCTTTCTGACCCAACACTTAACTTGGTGCCGACTCCTGTTCTGAGCATTTTACACGTATTAACTCATTTATACTGCATAACAGATTTATGAGATGGGTACCATGATTATTTGCATCTCACATTTGAAAATCTTGAGATCCAGAGAGCTTCAATAACCCTGCCCAAGGTCACCCAGCTTATAAATAGCACTTAGGATTCGAACCCAGGCACTCTGACGCCTTAGCCTGTGGGTTCAAATAATAGCACCTACCTCTCAGGGTAGCTAAGATTAAATACAATAAAGTATTTAGAGAGTTTAGCAAAGCACCTGGCACATAGTTCCCATTAAGTGCATACATGTGTAGTGTCTGTATGCAGGTGCATTATTATCATTTTCTTTATCAGCAAAGTCTTCAGAAGACCATTTGGGGTCTTCAGCAAATGGGCTGCTGAAGGGCCATTTGCTGCGGAGGTCAACCCTCAGGGCTGCTGCCCACGCCTGGGGCTTCGGGGTGGACCTGGCCTCTCAGGCGAGCAGGCCACCTGCTGGAGTTTAGCCCTCCACTCCTCAGCTGCCACTCGGGCAGCCACAGCCGCATGCCCACGGGAGGAGGCCCCGGGGTTCCATTTTTCATGCGGACCTGCTTCTGCAGTCTGTGGCGTCCCCTCCGCCACGCATGCGCTCTTTGTGGAC